GGGGAATGGATTTTCTAGTCCGTCACGTGTTGCCTTCCCACTTTTACTCTCTATAGTCCTTCAAGAAGCATGAATTACATGATGTTTTAGAAGATCCTGGAAATGCAGATGTCACTGCTAATGTTGACTTCGCGTACCTTAGAAAGGCTACCCATGGGAAAGGTTGGTGGAAACTTCAAACTTTTGATTGCATATTAAAAGTCTAGAGAATATCAACCGTTGATATTCTCTTGAAAAAGTACGTTGTTGTATCTTAGTCTTTGCCACGGAGTAACTCTTTGATCATGCATATTGAAAGAAGATTCTTCCAGAACAGTCGTGGTGTTTAATTTGCTTCTTATTGGGATAAAATGATGATGAAAGAGAGAAGCTAAAAAGTCATTAAGAGACATTGTATCAAACAGTGGTTTATTGATTTGGATTTACAAAGGTTTGCACCAAAGTAATAAACACATAAAACTTTCAACACAATTGCAGAATCTGCTACGTATCAGTCTTAATCAAGAGCATCATCTGAAAAGAGAAAAGAAAATGTTAATTAGTTGTTCGAATAATGCGCGCATTTACATTTTGAAGCGTTACGTAGTGTTGCGTTATGTTTCTTTGTGTTACGTTATTTTACTCTGCTGCCAGCTGCAAATCTAGCACACGGAAAACAGCACAAAAACGATCAGTTTATCCCCCATGAAATCTCTAAGCATTAAGCTGTCTCCCAAATGTATTGCGCTGATGCTTCAATGCTTAAAGATATTTACAAAAAGTTCGATTTTCCTTCATACACAATGAAGATCATTCAATTAAATCACCTGCAAACAGGAATTGATTCAAAGCAGGCCTGGGGCCCATGAGATCTCGCCTTTGGCGCTGTGCTAGTGCCAGGTCCATCACGGTGCTGTATGGAGGGATGTGGTTCAGGGGACCTGTGACAATGCAAAGATATAACAAAAAGTCAACAAAACTTAAGAAAGACTTCAATGTCTGCGCATTGAACACGGCGCATTCTTCTTTAACGAGATTTTGGTTAAAATCAGGAGCTTTCGAACACTGCCTTTACCATGTCACGCTTTGCAAGTAGTTGGACTCAGAATGATATTCACCCGACAACAAACATAAATTCAGGCAAGGCCTGGGGCCAATCCAGTTTCGCCTATGGCGCTGTAGCCGGGTTCTGAGGACCTTCGACAAACGATTACGGACAATAAATTTCTACTTTATCTGTGTATTGCACTCGATACAGAAGGAAGGTTTGTTAAAGTTGGAGGATTATTGTTTCTCTCAGGTTTCATTATTTTTATGATGTACCTGGTAACCTTTTCACTTCCCCCTCGAACCCGGACTCTCAAGATGCTAGGAGCGGCTCAGATTTTCCTTCATTTCTCACCTGCTAGCGTAAATGGAGACAGTGGTGACCTGGGTCCAATAAAATCCCGTCTTTGTCGCTTTACAAGCAACAGGTTGATCAAACCGTGGACATGGGACACAGGCTTGTTACTCATGCTGAGGGGTTTGAACAGCGTGAAGCTAACATGGGCATGGTTTGATTCATCTTGAGGACAGATCTGGGGATGAGATACTGTTCCTGGCTTTGACTCAGGAATTTGTTTGGCTGGTTCGCTGCTGGGCTGACTGACAATTTCACAGCAGAACTGGCGACTGCTATCGATGTAAGATAGTTCAGGAGCGAGACAAACACTGCGTCCCATCTTCTCCGCTTTCGCCGACCAACCAGGAGAGTAACTAATCCTGTTTATAGAGAGCATTGTTAGTTTGCTTGTTTACTCCCCGAAGTCTGTTTCTTACTTCTTGCGTCCAATTGCCCGGGCATACTTTCCTTTGTGAGTTAGTAAAGAGAATTTGGTACTGCGTCAAGATAATACTCTGGGCGGATAGGTTTTCCTTAATATCTCATCATTTTCTTGCTTGCTAGATAAGTAATTGATTTCGTAAGAACATGTTACACTTCAATTACAGCTTTGTGTGGTGTCTCCGTGCCACGTCATGTCTTTAGCACCGGCGTCATGTTTGGTTCTATTTTTACAGAAATAAGGATCAAGTCACTGGAGGGGCGTCGGACACAAAGTTCAGCCACAAAGATAAATTTTTTATAGGTTACAAAGACGAATTTGCCATAAACTTACTTGCACTGCTTATAAAATTCGAAGCAGTACTGGAGAAAAAGATAAAAGTACCACAGAAAAAATAACCAAACGCCGATGTTAAAAGCTCGAATAGAGATGGGAGGTGTGATACCTGCAAAAGAACAAACGCAATGGCGATTAATTTACTTTTAGCAACTTCACGTTGATGACCAGTCATCATTCGCTAAATGAATCGAAGCGTTTAACTTCCGCTAAGTTGCAGTGAAATAGCTTCTCTGAAGTCTCTTCAGAAATTCGTAGAGAATATTAAAGGATCAAGAAAGATTATAAATGTTTCCATCGCACTCGTTTATGTTTCATGCATCCTCATTCCCAGACTTCTTTCTCATCCGGCGGCGGGAATAGGGTTACCAAGATAGCGCGCGCGCTCGAGCAACTGTCTCAGATTATGACGTTTTCGTTTTTTTCACAGCCACAAAAACCTTTTGCTTTTGAGCGAAAATACTTTCTAAGACCCATTTTCATGAAGAAGTTGCTGATATCTGCACACTGAACAGAAATGCTCAAAGCAAACTCTCGGGCCAAGTTTGTGTACAGAATATAAAATAAAGAAAATATTTCCGTTTCGAGAAAGAAAGCTAGGAAGATGGCTTCAAATGTATGCAGTACTCACCTTTTGCCTTGTAGGCTTGCACTGTTACCGCATGATTATTCATTAGCAGACATATCGGGTAGGAAAACACAAGTACAAGGCAAACGACAGCTTTGTACAACATTGTGGCAATTGTACCACGGAAACTCTTCGTTTAAAAGCTTTTTACCTCGCAGCCTTCAAAAACGCTGTTATCGCAAAAGTGATGTCTTCGCGTATGAGGACTTTCCGCGCGCACTGGACGTAACAATAAGGCTAAATTCTTCACGCGCGCGCAGTGATTTGATTGGTTAGCACTCAATTCCCAACGATAGAGTTGGGGACTGGGCGCTGCAAAAATTCCAATGATATGGAAAATTGTGATGAAAATCTTGGTGCCTTTGGCGCGATTTTTTTTAATTTTAAGAAGTCGCGCAAATTCAGACCATTTTGAATTCGCACGCATGTTGGTAGGAAGGAGTCTGAGATTTGAATTAATGCACAAGGAGTGATTCGTCGTCTTATTTGAAAACTTCTCGTTTTTTTTCGGGCAATACCTTCGTTCGTGTTTTATACTTAGAAGTAGTAAAGATCTGTTAAATTTATGAAGTATATCCCATTGCCGCATCTGTCGCGCCGATTACTTCATTTCAGTGTGCGTTACACGCAGCTAAATCGAGTCTTCTTGCGGCGACCGGAGCAATGCTGTAAATATAAAGATGTATTGAATCCAAAAGTGCGCTGAAGTGTTTGAGATTAGGATTGGCGTTAAGGTTAGGCAAAGTTTTGTGAAAATTTGAACTCTGTAACTTCTAGGATTTTGTTTATAATAACTCAGAGAATTTAGTGTTCTCTTATTGAAAAGCTTTTCAAAGAATGTCGAAAGTAGTCCAGGATTGCTTTGGTTTTGCTTCACTTCGTTCTGTGATTGGTCCGGAAAACGGGCTCGCACCTCTTTCTCAACCAATCAGTTTACAAACCAATTGCGACTTGGCCACTCGCGTTTTCGCGCCCTTCCAGTTTTCACTATAAGTTGTTATTGGTTCCTGGTAATGTCTCCCTTTGTCCTGATTGGCTGTTTTGATTAGCCATGTTTCGCTTTTTATCACTCAATCGAAAACCGCTCCATCAAGACAACACTGCCTGGCAGATACTACTTCGCTGAGTATAGTATCGATGTCGTTAGGAGAGGTCTCGTTTCACTCATCTCAACAGGTTAGCAGGCCAGGAACGAACTTGCGTAGAAATTTTGTGAGAAAATTGCCAAATACAACAGGCCTGAGAAAGTAATATGCGTACTAAATATAAAATACTGTCATGTTATTGTCCGCCGAACATCTTTCACCAATGCGTTTGCTTTTTCTCATCTGACAGTTCAAACATTTGGGCCGGTCACGCAAAGTTCCTTTCTTCAACAAATGGGAATTGATATGAGAATGGAAGTAAGTGATAATGTAGGCTATCTCGCCCTGATTCCCCCCAATTTTCCATCAGGAGATATGAAGTACCTCCCCGCTAAAAAATGTTGAAATAAAGAAATCTGCAATAATTGAAGTTTTTATTTGAATTTCATGTGTACTTCCACCCTCTCAAGAGAGAAACAAACAAAAAAAAAGAAATTTTGCGGGAAATCCCAGCGCCGTAAAACTACTTTGCATTCACTTTGAAATATCTCTAACATGGTAACTAAAGCTCTGTTCATTCTTAGAATCTTGATTAAATCTATTAAGTTCTTCGTTTTTATTTTTGTCTTTCAGGTCCTTCTGCAAAATGCCAGCTCTTCACAGGCTGAGCAGCTTCAAAGCGGTTACAAACTGCTAACAAGCTCGTCAGAGATGGGAGAAAAATTTAAGTTCTTTAGCCTTGTTCAACATGGACTCCCAGAACCAGCTGCTTTCAGATGACATCAGCTGCTAGTCGTAAAGCACGATTCAGCTCAGTGACAGTGACTTGCGCACTGCTCTGCGATGTGACGCGTTGTAGTTGTCACAGGGCACGAGACTTTTATAGTCCCTCTAGAACCAATGACATCTTCCCGTGAAAATTGAATGCAGTGAAATACTATCTGATACGTGTATCACTCACGCTGGAATCACTTTGAATTAAAACTGATTGATTGATTGATTTGAGCGAGTAACCGGTCGATTGATTGATTGATAGCTTGATTTACCGTATGATTGGTGGAATAATTGAATAGTTGGTTGACTCAATTGGATTCAACACTCGTTGTGACTACATGACTGTAACAATTCTAATCTATACCTCTCCACCCTTCCCCAGTCTTCAACTCTCCATCATCTTGAAACCAAACTTGGTTCTGTCAACGCTTGTTTTTCTCTTCCCCCCCCCCCCCCCCCCCCCCCTCTTTCTATTAAGACTCAGTGAGATTTCGTTGAAATGCGAAGGTGCAGAGAAGGTATGAGAAAACGAACCTAGACATCAGCCTTGTTGTTGGTAAGCGATTCCCAAACATCAATTTCACGAAAGAAAATTTGATTAGCATGACCCTCTGTTGATACAATTCGTAAACAAGTGACCACTTTAGATTCATCAGGAGTAATCTCTGCTTTTCCCTCGTGAAATGCTCCAATAGTATTGAAATATCCACAAGAATCTTCCTCGTTTGTCAATTCACCATCCACCGATGATTCAAAACTGGCCTGCAGAATACCAGAATATAACAGACAGTCACTGGCTCTGTAAGAACCCGTGTCCACAAACACTTTTTGAACAGAGGTAGGCAAGTTAAACTTTATCAAGATGTAATCATCTCTTTCAGAACTCTCTGCCCAAAAATAGCCATCACCCTTATCATAAGCATCTTGTGGTTGCCCCTCGATAGAAGACATTGACGAAGTCACAATGGCAGGAGGGTTCAACCCTTTATACTTTTGATCATATGCGTCGAAAAAGGTCTCTAAATCACTTGCCACGTGGGGAGCTTTCTCAGCCAGTGTTGATGTAACACCAATATGTTCAAATAGCGACGCCAATAATTTGTTAAACGATTCTGCGTCTTCTACGGATTTTATTTTTGTCCAATGATTCATTAACCAGTCTATGGGCATCTCATCGTACAGAAGGTAGTAGAACATGGCGGCATTTTCCAAATCGCGAGATTGATAGAGTTTTGCAACACTACCTTGTTGTGCTACATCTAACATAACCCAATTTGGGTACGGTTGGTCATGGATAAAATTTTTCAGTTTAGGGAGAAAGCTTGGAGAAGATCTTACATCGTCTTCCAGATGGATGTAATATTGGCTGAAATCTTTGCAGTAACACATTACAAATGCATTATCGACATTCTCCTTAGAGCGCCACGTTCGTCTGTTCTCTGAGTCACCATATTTCTCTTTGATATTGATGAGTTCTGGGTAAAATTCGGGAAATGTTTCAATTACTGTCAGCAGTCCCTGTTCGATGTGTTCGCCGAACTTCCGAGAAAGCTTTTCTTTTACGGCGGATCTTGGTGCTTTTTCCAAGTCGGCAAGAAAGATTACAATTTGTACGCTGTCCTTGTCACTCTGACTTGTGTTGTCAAGTAAGCTCTGGGTAGTTTGCAGCAAGTACATTTCACCCGCGGGCCTCGCCACCGATGCTATTCCAATGGCAAGAAAACCTTTAAAGCAAAAAGGAAGTGCAGTTGATCGTTTTATCTGATCGTCCAGTGGAGGATAGTCCTGAAAAGGATTTGTTGTCATTGACTGTAATAGACGTTTCGGGAACGGTCAGCGGACGTCCTCTTCCTTAGTCAATTGTCAGTCAAACAAGCGGTGTAAGTCGAGCTAAATTTCGAGTTCGTATAAACCAATCGGTCAGTTTTCCCGTGATGTACTTGGCTTTACGATTACAGCATAATTCTATCATAACAGCGATTAGAGCATAATTCAGTTGTAATCAGTCATTTTCTATAGTCGGTAAAGTTACGTCGTTCTGCCGAAGTTCATGATCGAGATATTGATAGTTATAAAATTCAAACAACAAAATATGTTTGGGCCGAGACCCGGACTACAATCCCTTTGGTTAAGATTCTAAAATTTGGCTTCCGGCCCTCAAAGTTACCGGCCCGGTCCTATTTTGGGATGAAACAACTTTTCTCTTTTCTATAAAAAAATGGTGTAAGATGTGCTATTGGCGAAAGATTTCAAACTTAATTCCGAGTTTAAAGCTTTGTCTGTATCATTTTGTGTCTCGTATTATTCTGAAGTAAAAACCATTTTACACTTACGTGTTTGTGAGGGATATCTCCCTAACTTGGTCACTTTGGAACTTTTAAGTACATCTCTGTCCGGACAAATGGAGGGACGCTTCTGTAAAGATTCTAGGAACAACAAAATCTTTTTTAGAGCCGTTTGTGCTGTGTTTGTTTGATTACAGATCGAATTGTATTCTACTCAGTCCTATTAACATGGTCAATTCTAATGAAATTTGGACGAAGTCGCCCCAGACCACAACATTTAGGTCGGTCTTGTTAGCAACATCTCTCTCAATTTTCTGTAGTTTCATTTTCGGGAAGTAAATTGCTCCAAGAAAATAAATAGTGCAGCTTACGTTATTACACTTATTGCACTTCATAAGTTCCACTGGACTTCAAAAATACGATTTAGCGAATTGTTTCTTTAAAGAGAAAAAAAGGAAACCATAATTTCCAAAAACTATTCGCTATAAATATCGAGTATATCATCGAAATAAGTCCAAATTTTAAAAGGAATGCATTAGTAGAGCACCTTACTGATACTAAAATTCAAACACTGTCAGTTTGAGGCTAAAATTAGACTTGTTTGGATATTGAGATATTGATCCACTTCCGTTGTTTTTTTCTGTTGCACCATGTTATGTAATACTGCAATTCCAATACTTAATGACGAAAACTGTTTCAAACACGTTTAGTCACGAATAAGACAAAAATTCTTATTTAAAAAGCGCTTTCGTCAACACCAGCGAAAGATCAACACAATTTATTATTTTTGCTGAAGACTGAATTCTAAATTGTTTCGCTTGTTGATCAAACGTCACACTGACTTGCTAAAAGTAGAGTGTAGCAACACTTAGATTTCCTTATGAAAAGCCTTAAGTTAAATTACCATGATTGGTTTTAATATGTGGAATTAAACACGAGTTTATGTGGTTCTGCACAGACTAGTTCCACCTTCGCAGTCTCGCTGAGTAGGATAAAGGATGAATATCTCCCAAAACCATGAAAATGACCATATTATTGTTCGACATCTTTTACGAATTTGTCGATTAACAAGGCAATTGCATGAGCGATTGCCACCTGAGTCAGAATCTAAAAACACCCTATTCTTACTTGGTTCGTGGGAAGTTGTTTGAAATGGCTCAGTTGTAGGCTTTCTCTGACTGTTTAAAGGTTTGACGTCTCTTGAGGTAGTGGGATATTCGCGTCCATTCGTACACGGTGTTTTCCAAACGAATAGTGTTATCCCCATCACAGTAGCTACTAGCACCACTCTTCCAAGAAAATTCCAAGTACTAAAGCGGCATATTCTCCAAAGTACCCTTCCTACAGCCATTATTTTGGCGTTTTGTTAAGAAAACTCTGATTGCCTCTCGCGGCTTAGTTTGGTGAAATTTAGGAGCAATATTGCTAGGAAATATTGAGTTAAAGTTTTCTTGAATTTTTTAACGTTCAGATTACAAGGTTACTGTGTTACAACTTAACCTAAAATACTCTCCAAGAGATAACTTCCAACGGGGTGTGAATTCTTCGAAACGAATTTGCCTCGATTAACTTTGGCGGTTCGAAAGAAGTAGTGAAAAGTAACACGTCGCCCTTATTGAACAATCGTAGTTTCCAAAGTGTTTTTGATTAAAATCATTTGCAAAACGCTGCTTTGTTTTTTCGTTTATCTACTTGAAGATATCCCAGGTTCCATCAGGTTTCCTTATTGCCTTTGCAGCAGATCCTCACTACCTCGGATTCAGTTATTTCCGTCACGGTACAACAGATTACATCAATCTTCTCGCATGACCCAAGGCCCTAAACACGTGATCGAGGTCAATAGTATTCCACGAAACATGTATCAACATGTTCCGCACAAACCTTTTGCGCTCAGCCTCGACAAAAGTTCCTAAGCGCTACGTATAAAAAACGCTCCATACAAAATGTTGTTCTGGAATAATAGACCGTTTTTTGATCCAAGGAAATTTGACCGAAAATGAGAATAATGAGCACGGACCTTCTTTTCAGTTGAAACGCAAAAATCCACCTATTGCGGATGTAATAGTAAGAAAGACTATTTTCCATTTCATGAAACTTGATAAAGCTTCCCCCCTCCTCCGTGTTCCCAGACGAGAATAGCCCACGGTCATTCGGAACACAGTGCTGTGGTGTGGAAGGCAGAGAGCATCAGGGCCATGATAGTCAGGCATGCTGAACCAAGAACCACGAAGGTTGGAATCTCTTGCATCGCACTCCTGACACCATGCACTTGAACACCAAACTCTACGGTCAGATTACAAAAGCTGTAATGACAAAGTATATGGATGATAATAGTCAGTATTCAGCTAAGTCACAGGCAGCCTAATCTTATGAAGAATAGCACGGAACCCACGCTAAAGGAACAAGGAAAAGAGACAATTCCTGACGCCCCCGAGGAGGTGGGTCTGAGTATCCCGTATGCTATTAATGTTTGGCTTAAATATCCCGTTAATTCCTGCAGTTTGTTTCCTTTTAATTCCCGTTATCTCTATTTTGAAAATCCCGTTTCCCGCTTTTTTTTCCCTCGAGTATCCCCGTATCCCTTCAACGTTTTACCCAAATATCCCGCATCCGATAACCCCTTATAAAGCCTTCTTCCTTAAAGTTCGACACACTGTCACAGCCGCCGTTTGGGAAAGAGGAACAAAGAGTGAACTCGAGTGGGAAGTTGAAATTGAGTATATCTTTCGCTTTCTTAGGGTTGACTCGAAAATCCAGACAACCAAAGTGAGCTTTAGTGGTTTAAACTAACCAGGGCTGTGGCTGAAAAATGACGCGGCCAAATTTTATTCAGCGGCAAAATCCGAAAGTTGCCTCTCAATAGAAAAACAATAAAAAAAAAATAAATAAAAAAAATACTGCTCTTGAAATTCCACTACCTTAAAGAATATCAGTTGAGGTATATTCAATGACCAAGTCCTTTACCTAAATTCAGGATCAAGAACTTTCAGGAGGAAGACAAAAGTGCCTACATCAGTCCACACAATGTGCGAGGCGGCCCCAGAACTGTTGAGGATCTCGTATCGTTCATAAAGATTATCCGCAGAAATGGAGCCATCTGCTGATTCTTGAAAACAAGTTTGGTAATTCTAGGGAATAAAATTGAAAGTAAATTAAAGTGAATAATATTACAATCTTTCGAAGGTTCGGAAATTGATCAGTCGCATATTGCGATAGTCTTGAACGAAAGGCATCATAAAAGATCACCATGAAGTTGTTTGTCGATCATTGTTAGTTGTCTTAGTTGGTCAAGAGAAGGCAACACGGAACCAAATTAACACAGTACACGCATCTTTTATAACTCGCTGTTCGTATCTTTTTACCTCCCTGGACCACGCTGATTCAATACTTCCACCCTTCATGGAATTTATCATCTTTTCCCAGCTCTGCGCCTCTCTCATGCACCCAACCTTGTTAAAAAAACAACAACAACAACAAAAACGCTTTCCTATTGAATATTGGGTTGGGTTCATATTTCCTTCGAAGTCTTAAAAATTTCCATGACCTTCCTTAACTTCTCCCGAACTCTTCAAGTGTGAATTTCAGTCAGTGGCTCATACTTAACACAGGAAGTTGCGTACAAAAAATTCAAAGTTGAAGTTCACATAGTCGAACAGTGAGTTGATATTGAGATGTTCAAACCGCCAGTGACAATTTTAACCTAATTTCACATGTTCTTTTGCATTTTTCCCTCGATCGAACTGCTAACACCGTAATTTCTCTTCCTTCTGCTGTAACATTCTTCGCCAGCTTCTTTGCAGTATAAGTTCAACGCATTCCACTTCAGCCTATCAATACCAGTTTAGCACGTCTTTCTTTGCTTTCTTCCTTGAAATTCTTTGGGCGATGTTCAGCGGTATAGCCTTTTAATGCTGCACAAATAACTGACACTAAATGTTTGCATTTCCAAAAGAGATATCAGTATCAAAAAATTATAATTTTTCTCCTATCCCCAGTAGTCCTCCAAAAACGGGGAGGAGGAGGAAAATAATGTTTAAAATACGAAACAGCCACTAACCTCCTTCATGGTTTTACTGTACTTGTAGCCAGCTCGACCATGTTGTTCCCACAATACATAGTTTACATCCACTTCTTTTACAAACGTTTCTCCATCGTATCTGACGGGGAGAAATATTTCAGAACTTGCGTAATCTTTAAGAAATTAGTTATAAAATAGTACGAAAAGTTTTCATATCAGAAGACATTGCTGTCGCATTTATTTTCTCTTAGAAGTAAAAAAGATAATTAAATAAAAACTCAACTGCATTAGATTCGTGAATGACATTACTGATACTTGTATCTATAAAGAGTTTAGTTCAGTGGACTGAATTAACACTAAGACTTCAAATACATATCGTGATACATCTGCTGATTAGGCCTTTTCCCTACATTCAGTTGAAGCAGCCATTTAGCAGCAGAGAGCGACGTGATACAAAGCAAACGTAAAGAAACGTGACTGAGAATCTCCCCTGATTCTTTCCTTTTTTTTTCTTTTGGCACTTAAATTCCACTATTACCTAGCTCTCAGGGAAATGCATTGGCGGAAAAGGTGTTAATAAAACACGGCACTTACACGTCAATAATGGGTTTGAAAGGTTCACTGCTCTGCACTGATAACGGACAGCCCAGTTTAAGAAGGTCATACACAACGGTCTATAAAACAAACTTTTTTCAGTACATCCCACGACAAATAAAATCAAATACCTGATCAAAATGTAAAGCATGAGGTTTGAAGAATCGTTAACTACAAATAACGTCATAGGGCGAATTAAATTGAATCAAGAAAGAAAGGCACTTGGAAAGGCAGCCGTTTCTTGAAGCATATACGAGAGAGAAGCCGTATAAAAGAAAAGTAATCGAGCTTTTCCTCTTTGAAAAACTAAACGTGGAATTTACATAACTTCACCTTATCTGAAACTTCATCATTTTCATGAGAAATTTTTCTCTGCTGACCACTGCCACAAAAAAGTAGAAAATGTTATTTTCTCACCTAATGTAACTCTTTACTTCCTAACATCAGTATGCATATTCTCCATACTACTCCCTAGACATTTCCTAATGTTCTTACAAGGAGAATTTGTGCAACAATCAAAAGCTTCTTTAGTTGGTGATCATCTCCTTTATTCTCATGACCTTAGTGTTTGATCCAGGGGTGATGTTGTTAGGAGAAATTAGATGTTAGTCACTCTTAGGGGTTGAAGGGTCAATGCACTCAAGGGTCAAAAAGTTAAGTAAGTTCTATTTTTTAATTATAGTATTTTAGACCCTGCTGGTCTAAGTGAATTAAATTTCCCAGCACTTCTCCCTAACCAACTGGCTATGTGATGCTCCCCAGATGAAGTTGAAATGGTTTCAAGTATTTTAAAAGTGAACAACTGGAGTATCTACACCATTCTTACCCAGTAACTATTTCTTACAAACATATCTTTGATCATTTTTACCTTGAAACAACATAAGAAAAGTTTTTGAAACTTCCACATCTGGTAGGTTTGCTGAAAAATTAAAAATGATCACCTAATACAAAAGTTGTGATTTACCTACAATAAGTGATAACTTTCTTTTAAACAATTTTGCACACATATCAAGAGCATGAAATTGCTTTGACTTAAATACATCGCATAAAATGTTTTCTATAGATTATATCTGTGCATCAACCATTGCCAAACTCACCCCCTAGGAATTATACGCCGGTTAGAAGGGCAACCAATAGTCACATTTGTCTCCTATTAACATAATGAAACACATATCCTATGTTAGAATATATTTCAAAAAGTTCTCTCAGGTCTGGTTGTTTCTCTAGGGACTTGCACAATTTTTCTAGCTCTGCCCTTAGTGGAGTCAAATTGATTTTGCAACATACTCTATCATACTGTAAAGGCAACATCCAATCTTATAGGAAGAGATGCTGATGCAAAAACTTCCATGTTAAAGAAGACAGCCACAAGAGAAAATAAATTCTAGCACAGTAAAATTGCCAAGCCAATCCCTTAAGAATGTTTTTGTCTGTTTCTGAACTGCAACTGCTCAGATAAAACTAAGGCTACACTTGCACAAATACTTACTGCTTTTAAGGTGGCACAAGAGTGATCTTCGGAAAATGCCTCAACACCAAACAAAACATTGATGCCCTCTTCACTAAAAACACATTTCTACATTATTTGCAAGTTATAACTTTTAATATTGTCAAATTATGGCATCTAGACTACCTTAAAAGCTACAATCAGTGAATCAGTGAATCAGCGACACACCAGGTTCATTTAGAGGAAAGAAATTAATTGTGCTGCTCCTAACAAAAGTTTAACCTATGATCTCCTAAAAAACATCTGTGAACACCAAGCTACTTCATACCCGGGATCACTCCTAAATTCATTACCTTGCGTGGTTGTGTCCCTCATTTCTTCTCTTTCTTTCTTTGAGGGAAACTGTCTAGAAGGAAATCACAGTGAAAAAATTGATAGTGGCTCAGAAAATTTAACCTAACTTATCCTAATCCTGAGTAATTTTCCATTTTCTATGAGAAATTCACAACACTTACTACATTTCTGGATATAACTCCTATGCCATGAGTATCTGAGAATGATTCCTGGCTTGCAAGACTGAAAGTCAAGTGTTCAGTATTTGAAAGGCTGCCCTGTGAAATAAAGGAATTGAAAAATTTATCTCTGGATTACTGCATTTTATTAGTATTTTGTACTGGATTTCCTCACAATCCGATGTTCTACTTGTATGTTGAGGTTTTATTCAAACTGGTGCTGCAATTACAACAAGAAAACGGCTATACATCACTATTGTAGTTTACTAAACAAGTAACAAAATTTGAGGAGGATAGTGTTCCTGTTGTGTCCCAGCTGACACTCTGGATTCTCTCTCTTGTAACTCTAAATTGTTCACTTGATGTATCACAAATGAATATAGCATGTAAGAAATGGTGTTGTTTGAAAAGTTCCTCTTAGAATTGTACAAGGTATATTATTTCCCTGTGTGGTAAATATCCAATTCAATGCATTATTTCTTTAACTCGATACGTTTCTCTTGAAACTTGCGGATAACAACACAGCAATAGCTAATAACTGAATGAAAACGTGCAATGAACCCCGTAGGCAAGATTCTTTTTGTTTTCTGTAAGTATTATATAATGGTTGTTGTTAGCTCTCTTACAATAAGTCGATTATCTTCCCAAGGTTCAGGAATAAGCATAGCCCATGCCTGTGGCGAAAAGGAAAGAAAAGGAAGGAATGGTAAGAAGAAGAAACACAAATACAAAGTTGTAGCCAACTTTCAGGACCATTTTGAGGGATATGTTTTCAAGCATATTTTTGATGCACTGGTCACATATGAATTGAAACAGCTATTGCGAACATAGAGAGAAGGAAGAAGTGAAAAAACTGACCCCAGGTTTCCTACCTTAATTGTTTCTCCTTTGTCTAGGAAGTACGTTGGCTTGAAGTTGTGGAGCAGAACCTCATGCTAAAATAATATAACCAGCCACTGTCAGTAAAAACTACCTTGAACAAGCATGACTTTGCCGTGAAATTTTAATAAAAGCTTTCCATACGAACTCAAACCGATATTGATTCCTCGAGTGTGGTTTACTAACCTTTGGACATTTCGCCAAGGCTGGATTGAATGTTAATATTATGTGAGCAAAACTTAACAAAGAGAGAGTTTTCCCCGACGCTGCCATGTTTTTCCAGTGGTAAACGGAATTGAGGCAGGAGAGATGCGGATCTTACTCTTCAGGGACCCCTCAGTCGGCGGGACATCATACCAGGGGTCCTGGATAGGTTGGCCGAAATTTCCCCCCAAACTAATAGTTGTCGCTATGACCTCTCTTCCTAGGCATGTGTCCATTTACCCTCATTATCTCATGCACTGGTAACTTGGATGACTTTAGCATGTCCCGAAGAAGTTCATGACAACACGTAGCGGCGGATAAGGGGATAATAGTAGGGGTAACTTTTTTCAGACATTATCACGCATTCAATACCATTTAATTAGTTCTGTTACCTAATCAAGGAAATCTATTGTTTGTTTCCATCTAACAAGACTCCCAAAAGACTTTTTAATTACTACTCACAGTTAAATTATTTTACTGTTCTTAATTATTCTGCACTTCTAAACATTAGAAAGATCCTTTTTGGAAACTACTTACTAATTTATTTATTTTCTTTATATTAGAAAGTTACTGCTTCTGCATGCTTTTAGCCATTACATGCTTAAAAATCGTTAGTTGGAGTCTATATGTAGCATGGAATGACCACTGTAAAAACCAACACTTTGTTAAAACAGACACTCTGCTCTGTCTCTTATGGTATCAAATCACATTACTTCCAAAAAACACACCATCTTGTATTATGGTCCTCTCACAAGATGACACACTCAGTAATGCAGAATAGTCACTTTGAAAAAAGTGACAAGGAAAAAAATACAAAAATTTAATTTATCCTTATTATTTCTGAAGAATTATCTCAAAAAAGAAAATTGTTCAAATAAATAACTTTCCACTAAATCACATGGATGGGATTATTCTAAGGGAATACTATTTAAGTATTACATCTAAAGTACCTCACAGGAAACAACAAAAAGGAAATCTGATTTAACTTATTTCAGTGTAAATTATTATAACAACAGAAAATTCTTTTATTTTCTCCTTTTACAACATAATAAATTGTGTGGTAGCTATTTTCAAAATCATATTATTTTCACTGACCCTAACACTTCTAACAAATGTGCCATAATTTGATGAAAGCTAATTGTACCAAAAAATCTTAAGCAATATGAAAACACTTACTTTTCAAATGTAATAATGAGATTGCATTTGCTGTAACTACTAACACTTACACACCACTGCCACTTACAGTTTATCTACAAAATTTGGCTTTACTGCTCATGCATTTTCTGCTGATTACTTGTTTTTTGCCTTATCCCCTGTTCAGCTCAAATTCTCTGAGTTATTTTACATGCTAACTGTTCTTGTTATCTGTAAAAGATGTGATTGTTCTGCTCTTTTAAGACATAAATCTTATTCATAAACTATATTAAATTTCATTTCATTTCCACATCAAAATTATTCCAGCAAGCATGCCTTTGACAAACCTTTTTGATATTAGGTGTGAACAATGCAGCTAAGAGCACTGTACTAATGAGCCATTTCTGAGATGCAAAAAGCCTCTGTTTCAGTGGAAAGTGCAAAGCTATTCATTGGAAAATGATTTTAATCCTTAAGCAACTGTAACCCATTAATACCTGAAAATTTTGCTCTTGATCAAAATTAGAAAGGGAGAATTTTTAGAACTCAGAAATGGCCTATGTGTATCACACCCCATAAAATGGTGCACATAACTAGTCTACTGTCTCTTTGTTTACTCTTCTAGGGGGACATGTATTCCCATTTCACCTAACACTTCTTCTATACACTTCAACAAATGCTGCATATCAGCAGGATACAGTTTTCCGATGTTACCAATTCTGAAGCAGTCAGCAGTGCTTACTTTACCAGGGTAGATGACCTGGTCCTTACTGTTTAGCCGATTGTAAAAATCTTCAAAGTTGTAGTTTGGATGCTTGGGGTTGTAGTAGGAAGTTATAATGTACCCTTCATGGGTGTCATCTAGAAACTTCTTGAAACCCATTTTCCGCATGCCATCTTGAAGAAGGTTGCAGTTCTCCATGTATCTATGAGAATAAAAGAGAGTAATTTTCACAGACTTAAACATTACAAAAAAGGTACATATCTGTATACCAAACACCTGGCTTCTCCTATACTGGTTATGATGATGCTATGATTCATTATGAAACATTTTGGCATAATCAGTTCATTTAGATAGTCTTTCAATCTCTAGGAATAAAGCCGCTCACCTGTTTGCTCTTCCATCCACTCCACCTTCAGCCTTGAACTCAGACAAAGCTCGTCGGAAAGCAAGCATGGCATGAGTTGCTGGGGTGAACCTAAACTGGCCGTTCTGGTTAAGTCCTTCATACTGATCAACAATGTCCAGAGATAAACTACGTGCCCATCCTTTGCATTTCTTCAAGGATTCAATATGGCCAATTACAAAGGAGAACCCAGGAACACCTTCTATACACTTGTTAGCTGAGCTCACCATGAAGTCAATGTTTGCTAGATCTAAATTGAGTGGAACTGCCCCAAAGCTACTCATAGCATCAACAAAAAATGATGCATCTGGAGCATGTGCTTTCACAAGTTTTCCTACTTCAGCAACTGGATGTATAACACCTGTGGAGGTTTCACAGTGCACCATGGCAACATTGGTGATGGATTTATCACTTTTCAGGATTTCTTCAACTTTCTTTAAGTCTACTTTGGAATCCTCTGCTCCGTGAAGTACAACCTGAACAACAGATACACACCATATGAAAAACCTACAAATGTTTACCCTTCAATTCCTTACACTAAAACCTTGAGTCTTTACCAAAGCCAAGTGGCTCACCCAGCTGGAGCTTATCCCAGGTTTCCTTAGCATGAAGCCACTAGGAGTATCACTTCTCCCCCCAAGATGGGATGCTAGTCCATTGCAAGGTTACCCCCAGCACTTCATCAGGCCTTCACAGACCCAGGCATTCAGACGCGAAGCCCAGCACACTAAACAATAGACCACTGCGTTTCTCGCAATTCTTCATACTGGTTAAATGCAAAGCTCCCAGCTACAGTTGGAAAGTTGTGCTGGATGCTCAAAGAAATATCTATCCATTTATATACCTATAACTGAATACATGAAGGGTTTACAGCAAATGAAAGTGTTCATATTTTATCTATGGTATCTCTAATTTTTAAGTTGATCGTCACAATTGGCTTACATGAAAACATGAACCCTTAGCTAAATCAAAAGCAATCACAAAATTTCCTGGAGCATGAAGTCTATACTAAACACCTAATTTCAAGCATCTCTCCTGCCTGAAATAAAACATTCAGAATTGGATTGTTACATGTACATGTACCAGTACTATAAGGTTAACAATATTAAAAAGGGAAACCTTCTCAAAAGTTAATTTAACCATCAGAGATCAACATACTCAAAGGAACTAGTAAAAACAAACCGTTTCTATCCCCGCAACTTCACAAATCTTCATCATTCTCTTGCCATAGGAACCACATTCAATGATGAAAACTTTCCCTCCTTCTCTGGGGGTTGTGGTGGTGAGTACAGCCTCCACAGCATATGTTCCGCTACCCTGAAGTAATACAGTGGTGAACACTTCAGGAGAAACACCAGCAATTTCCAAGAGCCTCGAACGAATTGTTTTCACAACCCGTATAAACTCCGTGTCACGCGAACCAAGGTCCCGCAGCATGGCCCTCTTTGTTTCAAAGCTGACGCCGAGAGGGCCAGGGGTAAATAACTTCTTGTCCCTGTGAGTTTCAAAATCTGAATGAAAGACATTAAATCACAGTAAGAGATTAACTATTCTCTTTATGGAGAGCTAAAGATCAAGCAATTGGGTTACTGTACTAAAAAAAACTTGTAGTCAAAGTAACCTATTCAAATGTGAAATTGTCGTCATCTTGAGTAAAACAGTAAATACAAAAAAAAAAAATTCACATACACACTCTGTCTTAGAACTCCTACCTCTATGGCATTAAAAACCTATTCTTGAAAACAGGTGTAGTTAATGTGGTTTAATTAATTTGCAGTGGAACCGTAACTGGTGAGTAATTTGCCCGATTTTTTTTTTTTAATCGAGCAATCTCATTTACTTGCGTGACGGCACAGGTCGACAGATATAAATCTTTGTGATGTGGCAAACTATTTGCATCGCGGTTAGTAATGCAAACAAATCTGTAAGGATTTTCCCAAACCTCGCATCCACTTCTGCAGAGAAAATTTCTTAAGACCAAAGAGGGCTTAAATAAAAGACAGCTTTGATTTATGTATGTACAAACTTCTTTTTACTCGGAAAAATACAGTTTACCTACTCATACCTGGCTCATCAAGACTCGACTTCGCAGAACACAATCGCCATGAACCACCAAGTACTTGAGGAGATCTTTTACAAGCACGAGCAGCATGCCACAAGGGCCTTGCAATTACACTACGAAACGCCATCGTTAAAAATTTGTTGGGAATGCAGTAGTTAAAAGACCTTACAATATCCTGGTACTTTCCACGCGCGGGCCTAATTTCTCAATGAAGTGTGGGCATAACGGTCATGCGCAAAACGATCTTCCCGCACACACACGGAAGCGAGAAATGGCCACCCGCACGAGAACCGAAGCGAAAACATACACGGATGGACATTTGGAACTTGCTTCAGTCGATGAGATAATGTAGCATGGATTTCCGATAAAGTTGAAGCAAAAAGGAACAGTCTTCGAGGATTTCAAGTGGAGGATATAATTGTGCGACATTGAATGATCTTGTTTATTTGTGGGTAAAACTACTTCCTGTCACATGTCATTCTGAACAGTAGGCTTCCACACTGGCCGGAAATTCGCGGGATTAAGTAAATGTTAGACCCACTTACATATCATTTACCGGTAATCCCCTGTACATTAGTTGCAAAGCCGCTAGTAGTTCGTGTAGTCGTCCGGGTGTGTGTAGTTGTGTGTGTGTAGATAAAGCCGCTAGTTTTTATTCTCTCCTTGTTTTTGACCGTTTGCGAGATAGTGGACAGGTGCTAATGTGATCAGGATGAATACTGGTTGATAAGTGCGCTTATCCAAGTGATAAGAGCAATAGCAGAGCATTCTTCTAGGCTATACATGCAGTACAGCTGCAAACAGATTGAGGTACTCTCCAAAGAAACTGCACATATGATGTGTAAAATTTTTCAGAAGTTTTTTTTCTTTGAAAAAACATGCCAATTTTTTAATGAATAAATCACATTTTAGAAGCAGATAAGGATGCATATTTACTTATTTTGTTTAATCTATTGGCTTAACAGAAAGATAACATTTCCCCCCTTAATCCCTAGATCAAAAATTACAAGATTTATTGTTTGCCTTTGGCAAAATATTTTCATGAATGTTATTGTTATTTCCTTTTGATCCAAATATCTTGAGGCCAGTCAACAATCTTTTCTCCTTTCCAGCTTTTTTTTGGTTTTAGTCATGCAACACAGTCTGGTGGAAAGATTGTGTTGCATTACAAAACCAAACAATGGCTTCTATGAAGATTTACCAATATGCATTGTCACTACTTCATTAATTTTCTGCCCTAAAGAATAGTTTAACAGGTTTTAAATTCCCATTGATATCATAATTACTTGGGAATTATGTCATGTTCCTAAAAAATAATCATCGTTTAGCTTTAAATGGCAAATCTTATTCTATATTAAGGCTGAATACATACTGAGCTATTTACAGATATTATTTAGTACCAAGGTATAATAAAAATAGGATTCTCTATGCTAGTGATTTAGTTAAAGGGAACTTTACATAAGTTTAGACAGATGTTAATCAACTGGGCTATGTTAAGTAAACAGAGATTTCAATCTCAGGCAAGTTTGCCCCTGCTATGACCACCCACCCCTTTTAATCAGGGAGTACTACTCAGCCTGTTTGTACTTGATGGGAAGAACTTGTCATGGCAGGGAAAAATTTAAAGGTGGAGGACTTGAAATAAAGCAAAATCCCTGTACACAACCCTCCTCTCTTATGCATTTATTATTTCTTCATTTTGAAGCTTCAACATCCCACCCCTGGACTTTGAACTTTTGAAGATAGGTTTGTTCAAATTCTCACCCCTTGGGACAAACATTGTGTTCAAATGCCTTGCCCAATTTTTTGGTGAAAATGGAAATCTCTATACACTGGCCACACTTTAAAACCTCGTAGACCTTTTCTTCTAAGCCATTGTTTACCTTTAACATACTCCATATTTGTATTCAGCTGAAAAGACTTGACACTTCCAGCTCAAATTCCCCACCCTCACCAAGCAAGGTTCAAATTCCTCAACCCCAGGCACAGATGTCAGTCAAATGCCTGTAGGTTGCCCAAGGAGAGGATGTCGAAGTAAAAGAAAAATTAAGCAGCACAAAATAGTTCCTTGATTTCTTAGAGCTGTAAATGAAGCAGTTCCCCATGGCAGATTTTATACAATGAACAATTCTGCTACTGCAACAAAACTTTACATGGAAAAATTTGAGCTGAAATAAAAAAAAAGAAGAGCTGCACATGTTTAGTTCAAAGTAGTCACTGATGACCATTCTCCTAATTTCTCATTAAAGGTAAAAAAAACTTATATTATGTCAATCATGCTGTTTGATTACTATTATCATCATCATCATCATCATCATTTTAACCACTCCCCTCCCCTTCACAAGTGCATCCTTTATCAACACTTGCATGTTCATAAAAACTCCTATTTCCCTGTCACTGACTGTAAATATATGAAAATCATGTGTGAACTCTGGTTTAACAAATGAATTTGGAAGCGACCTTTGCAGCAGTGATTAACTCTTAAGCAGTGGTGAAAATAAGGCCTGGAAAAAATTATGGCCTGTACAGGATCCCAAACAGGCCTGAATTATAGTCAGGCCTTATTTTCACTACTACCTAAGAAGTTTTTATTACAGCGAAGATCGCTTCCAAATCCAAGCAACCACTGTTGTATGGTTGGGATATATTCTGTATAGCCCAAGTTGCTCAAATAACTGGAGTTGAAATGATTTTTTCCAATACATACCATCTCCACCATGTTCTAGGGATCATATTTATGTATCATGCACTTTTCTTAAATTTGGCCGACAATTCGATTCTAGTCTTGAAAAAGAGAACTTGTTTGCACAACATATTTTTGGTGACTACCACACAAGTAACATTTAGCAAGGATATGTAAGAAATTCAATATATTTGGCATGACTAGCATGCAGTTGGCTCTACTCCACACTTACATACTAACATTACGCACAAGACAAATTTTCTTTCATAAAATAAAAAATGTGGGACACATTTTTTACACTCTTTGTATGAGCTTCTGAATTTCTTTTGATAATGATCCAATTCCTAAGATAGTTGATGATCTGAGAGAAACAATTATTTTGACAAAAAATTGACACATGAATACCTGGCCTGATGACAAGTTTTCCTCAAAATTTCCTAGAATATGTTTTGTTTAATGAAGAATTTCCATACTTTAAGTGAAGGCAAACCTACATCTATAAGTTAAAACAATTTTGACTACAACCTGTGACGCATTACCTCTACTTCCTCCTTCTCCTTTGCCGCCACAAAAATCTAAATACCTCACTTTTCTTTTTTTTCTACATAACATTCAATTAACCCTTTAACTCATATAAGTGACCGAGACAGAATCTCTCCTTACAGTATTAATACAATATCAACCAGATAAGTAATGAGAACAAAGAAAAATATCAACTTGGGATAATTAGTTGATCAAATACTAAATTCTATGAACTAACATTATAAGAATTGTATGGTTGACAGTAAGGAGAATTAAAAATTTGATCTGGGAGTTTGAGGGTCAAGGTATTAAATGAAATCTATCTTCACAAAATTCAATAGTGGCAGAGAGGTTTTTACTGAAAAATGCTGCCCCATACAGTAAAAAAACAAAATATTGTAATTAAGCAGAGAGATTTCTCCTAGAGGTTACCCACAAAAACAGAGAAGAAAAAAATTACGAAGCACTGAAATTCCTGTCAGCACTCTGAGCTTAAAACTTCAACCTTTATAGTTTTAAGGCATGACATAAAATCATTTGAGACAAAGATTACTTGTAGGTAAACAAGGCTTTATGTTTCCCATAATTTGATTTTAAAATAATTTCTTTAAATGAATCCAGTATGGATGTCATATTTTTCAGTCATATTTTGCAAGTTATTCAGGCTTCAAGGGAAACATAAGAACTGATGAACACATAAAACTTAAATCTTCAAGATCATTCAAAACAGTCTTGGCAGCAACGCTCAATTGTACTTTATGTTGTTGCGATGAGAGAGGTATAGTGACTCTTCCATGTTGCCACACTTTATTTGTGTCGGATGGTTTTTGTGGCCTAGGGCTGTCCAGCTTTTGAGGTTCCACTGATGATGAGAAAATATCCAGATCCAACAGGTCTGTCTCATACAAGGCTCTGGAGTCTGAAACTAAGCAAAGTGATAATCATTACTTACCATCTCTTACCATTTCTCTTATTCTATTTACAAACATGATGCTAATGACATTGCTGATCCTAGCAGTATGCAGGACGCATGTCATATGAACATTGTAATAGATCTCACTCACTGTAGAGTCTCTGTGGCTCAGTGGTAGAGCATCGCAGTGTGGAATCCAAAGGTCTGAGGTTCAATTCCTCATAGGGACTCAGAATTTTTCTTTGTCCCATGCTCATGACAAGATGAAAAACACCTTTCTCTATTTCTTTACTGAGCTCAAAACTTGCTAACTCTCTTACTCTATTTACAAAGTGATAATTATGATATAATATAACTTGTATAGCCCTGTAAACCTGGTTTATAAAAACAATGTCAAAACATTCTCTTGTTAGGGGATGTATGCAATTGTGTGAGCAGGGCTGGAAAAAGCCCCACATATCAGTGTACATTTGTGCTATAAAAAATATAAAAAAAATGGACAAGAAAGAGTGGTATAGGATTTATAGCATATTAAAATGCACAGTGCATATAAGTAAAAACAACAATGCATACCTGTCTTTGCATCTGAGGTCTGAGTCCTACTGGAGGCGAAGATATCCAGGTCAAGGGAAGATGGTTCAGATGTAGTAGCTGATACACTATCTTTGAAATCTGTCAAAACATGTTAAATACCAAAAAATACATTGACATTAAAATGCTTTGCACCATTACCTACTGTAAGTGTGATAACTACTATCTTGCAGAGGAAAAACTTCAAGAAGCATTGGGACCTGAGCTAACCTCTTCAGCATGTCCAATCTTTTATCTCACTCCAAGCTTCCTCCATCTTGCCCATACTTAAGTGTAGAGAGAGTGCTTTACTGGAACATTTGACCCTCCCATGCCCAATAATATACCCATTCCACATGCCACAAAATCTTTTCCAAATTTCAGTTATGGCCTAGACCTAACCCTAAACACATCTTCCTTTCTTGTATATGTAACAAGGTTAGCATTGCTTCTCTTCTATTCCTTGAACAAAAGAAAAAAACATTCTACTGACCTGATTTTGAAGCAGTGCGTTTCAGCCCACCACCCAGCACAAACTGAAAA